AAATAAATAAATAAAATCTTTAAAAAAAAAAGACTTCCTCAAGAGGCAGGAAGAGCACGTGGTGGGTGGAGGGGGCTGGCAACCTGTGGGAGGGAGGATGCAGGTCCTATCCCAGGCCCCAGCGGCATGCCCTTGGCTCTCAGGCATCACTCCCTCTAGAAGATCCTTCCTGCTTCCAGGCCCCATTCAATGCACTTATTGGAAGGACCGTCCCACCGCCCGCAGCATCTTCCCGGACAACCACCTCAGACCTGTTCTCAGGCTCCAAGTCTCTGACACTCACAGCTCAGACCTGCCTCCACCCAGAGCTGGTTGCAGGTTCTCCCCGGCCCCCAGAACGGCCCACTCTTCCTGGGTCCCAGTTCTCCTGCCTGCACCCCTGCATGGCCAGGCCTGTGCATCCCCTTTTCTCACTTCTCCTCCACCTGCTCACTTCCCCTCCTCCACATGTCTGCTCTTGCCTTTGTGGGTTTTGTGGATTTGCTCGAGCTTTCAAGAGCGTGCCCCGGCTGGGCCGAAGGAGGGGAGAAGACAGGTCCTCAGGCAGGTGATCTGAGGGTGGCCCAGCTCTGCAGTGGGGAGCTGGAGGAGGGCTGGCCGCGGGGGAGGGTAGAAGCAAAGGCCCCGGGGGCAGGAGGGAGGTGGGCCTGGGCACCGGGAGGAGGTTCTGTGTGGGGCCACGAGACAGGGGCCTTCCTAACTGTCCTGCTGGTGACTACATGGGGAGAAGCTGGTGTCCTGCCAGGCACTCCTCCTGCCTGCAGCGCACACTGCCCCCCAAGAAAGCATTATCTTGCAGGTTATCAATACCATTTGGGAAGGGCTGCTGCTTTTCGCAAAGCTCCCTCTGGAGCACGGCAAGGGCAGGCCCCGGGGAGAGAGATGGGGGTCTCCCTACCTTCTCTCGGGTGGGGGATCCCATCAAGTTTCTCCATGAGCTGACATAAGACAGGCACTTTTAAGGCCACAGGAAAATGTTGATTGCTATCAACAATCAATATTAAAAGCACAGATATTAAATTATTCCCTATCAATTAAAACACTGCTATCAAAATTGACATGAAACCTTACTGTTTGAATTGTATTAACTGAATTGGATCTGCTTAATTTTTAAAAAGCAGAACCCCAAATGGACCGTGCAGTTTGACCTCATCAACAAACTCTTGTTTCTACAAACGTGTAAATACCTAAGGTTTCCCCTGCAGTCTGGGAACAAGCCCCCCCTCACCATTGGCCCAGGGGGCGGGTGAGACTTCTATAATATTCTGAGGAATGGAACAGCATGGGCCCCACAGGAAGAGCTTCCTGTCGTTTGCGGCCCCCTTGATGCCGGGGGCCTGGGAGGGCTCCTACCTTCTGGTGCCTGGCGCCCCGGATGTGAGCGGTGTAGGCATCCGGCCCCGGGCACCACACGGCACAGAGGCCACAACCCAGCCGCGCTGGCACCCTGCCCGGGCCACCGCTGGCCTGGGTGCCCATCTTCTGGGCCGCCTCTTTCTTTTTGTGCTTCTGCCCCTCCAGGTGCTCGCGGTAGGCCTGCAGGCAGAGAGCGAGAGCGGCCTGAGAGGTGTGCGCGCAGTTCACTCCCGGGGGAGACCCAGGCCGCCGCCCCCCTCCCTCCGCTCACCGGCCGCCCAGATGCTCGGTGCGCCTTTGTTAAACCCAGTCCACGGGCCAGAAGCTCAGCCTGAACCCCAGAAGGTTTCTTTTTCTCTCTAAAAGTGGATGAGCTGCTTTCGCTTCAGGGGCTACTCGGAAGGAAAATGCTGGCTTTTCAGAATCTAACCTCAGAAACCACACGAAGACAGCCGCTACCTGAATCACACGGGGCACACTTCCTTTTCAGAAGGCGGCTAACACACGGAGGGGTCCGGGCGAGAGAGGGTGCGTGAGTCACAGGCCCGCGCATGCCACACCACCGTGCCCGAGGTGACCAAGCTCTTAAGTGGCATCCCACACTCCTCTCTGGCAATCCTTAAGGTGAGGCCGGCTGCAATAAACACGCTCCAAGTGGGTCAGCTCAACCAATGCACCCTGACTATGCCAAGACTCGGGCCGCCCCGGTGACATGGACCAGTGACATGGGGTGGTTCTGGGGCAGACGGGAGGCAGGGACAGGAGCCGGAGGGGTACTGGCTGGAATTCAGGAAACTTCTGAACATCTACCTGAGCAACAGCATGCGCGCAGAAACACACACACACACACACGCCAGGTAAAAGCCTGTGGGGCAGAGAAAAGCCTGGAAGGATAGACCCAGTGATGCTAACAGGAAACATCTGCAAGTGTAGTGAGTAGGGCAGTTCCCGCCCGCATCCTACACGCACACCAGTTAAACCACACAGCTTCGACCAACCGTGGTCTGATTTCCAGTCCCACGTCCCCGGTTCTGCGCCCCAGGCCTTCCCCTGACACGTGGAGGTAGAGGCCGCAGTTAGCAGCAGGAGACGACCCGCAGAAGGTGCTGTGCAGGGTCCTAAGCTCAAAGTAAGAGGAAGCGTTCGCGACTGTCTTCCCGCCACGGGGCCCCCCACCGTAAACACGTGTTCAGGGTGTGACGAGAGAAAAAGCAGGGAGGCGCGCTGGGAAGAGGCCTGCCTGGTGCTCCTGCAGCTCCAAGGGCTCCCCCTGGCCCCGCAGGGCTCGCCCGGAGGCCACACGGCCAAGTGAGTTCACACAGAACAAGAGCACACACACGTGCCCGTGGGGACAGGTGAAGTGGCAGACGTGAGGAAGAAGGACGCTTGATCAATGTCAACACCCTGGCTGGGAGACTGGCTGCAGTTTGGCCAACTGATGGCAGTGGGGAAGCTGGGCCAGGGGGTACAAGGACGTCTCTGAGTCATTACTCACAACCGCCTGCGAACCTACAACTTTCTCAGTAAAAATTCCAGTTTGAAGAGTGCTATTAACCTCAGCAAAAAGCTGGGAACGACGAGAGCTCTCATTTCTGAGGCACGCTGCATGCGTGGGGACACGCTCGGGCAAACCCTGTCACCACAGCTGTCCCCGAGAACAGCTCAGACCCCTGCTCAGGTGACAGGCAGCACGAGGCTGGGTTCCATCCTACCCCGCATCACGCATGTGTCCCCTTCGTGGGGAGCGAGCCGCACTCGCGCAACACAGTGCCCTGAAGGGTCTAGAACTAGGAGCAGAGGCTTGTGTTTGAGCTGTGAGAGGAACCAAGAATCCCCGAGATACAGAATAAAAATCACGTGGAGAAGTAAAGACAGACCTCCCGTTAACGAGCGCGAGTCTCAGCGGGAAGAGCGCACAGGAGGTTCGATCAAGAGGCCTGTAGAGACAGCAGGAGACGGGAAAGGGCCTTGGCCCCCCAGGTAAGTGGGGGCTGGATGAGGGGTCTCCCCATGCACCCTGATAGCCTGTGATCCCAGGGTCTATGCACCCCGCCAGCTTTCTCTCAGAGTATTAAAAAGAAGACAACACTAGCGCGTGGTTCTCTGTGAGCATGGAGCCCTGGTGTCTGACGACCTTTCCAGAGAACTAGCTGGGTGATCTGTGAGTGTGGCTGGGGGAATCTCCCTTAGACAACAAGCGCGCAGACACGCGTGCCCACGCTTGCTTCCCTCCACCCGAGGCCCTGCTTGAGCAGCCCTGCAGCGAAGGCGCGCCACCCCCAGGCGCCTCTTGGAACTGCGCCTGCCGCACCCATCGCCGCGCGGAGGAGGGGCTCTGACCACGCCGCCCACTCCGGCAAGGGGAGCCCGAGACCACGTTGCTGCCGCCAGCAGTCCGTGCCGTGCCTGCCCTTCTGTCCTCTGCACGCACGCCTGAAAGGCACATCTGACGTGCACTTGACATCGCCAGTTTAATAACAGGCCTTCTCGGGTAGGCAACACCCCTGATGTCCGGTTAGCCAGGTCGGGGATGGGGCTCTCCCAGCCCAAGGCGGGCAGCAGGGTCCCCAGGAAGGTCCTCTGGGCCTGCTCAGCGGGCGCGGAGGGCAGCTGACCTGGGGACCAGCGCAGCTGATCTTGCAGATGTCACAGTAGTGAAGCGGAGGCTCCCTGGGGCCACCCTTGGGTTTCGGCAGCTTGCGGGGAGCCGGGAGCTTGCCAGAGAAGCTGCCGGCAGACCTGGCCCTGGGACTGCTTCCTGGGCCGCCCCACAGGGAGCCCGGAGGCTGCTGGGGAGGCCGTGGCAGCTGGAGGGGCAGCGGTGGGGGACACTGAGGACCGGCTGCCGAGTGCGCCGCTGCTTCATAGCTCGGGTAGCTTGGTCCTAGGAAGCAGAGAGAAAAACCAGACAGAGGGAGACGGGTTGGTTTTGAGGACGCTACGAGAGGCATAGCCTTTGCCTGCGTGCACACGGGAATGCGCCTTACCCGCGTCCGGGGCAGAGGTGGGGCTGTAGGAGGTCAGGGCGTAGGAAGGCAGGGTGGAGACGGAGGCCACGGGCAGAGCGCTGGTCGCCAGTGGGTAGGGGTAGTTCTCGGTGTAGCTCAAGGCCAGGGCGCTGGCTGGCTGCCCTGCCTCGGCAGTGGCCGCTGGTTGCAGGGGCTGCACTGGGCTGTGCCCTCCACTGGGCTGGACAGAAGTTCCTTTAGTTCCTGGAGGGCAAGCAGAACCTCTCTGCAAAGCCACCCTTTGCCACAAACCCCCAGTGGACAGCAGGAGCCATGTTCTCCCTGTAACCGTGGCAACTGGCCTCCCCAGGCCCCTACTGGCCACAACCGCCTGCAAGTCCAGAGCCCCATGCTCTCCCATCTTGAAACTCCCAAGTCCTCAGCAGAACTCACCTCCTTCCCGCCTGGGAAAGCCTCCTCAGAATAAAACTGGTTGGCTCCCCTTTTAGTTCTGTCTCTTTCCTTCCTGCCCTCCCTCTCCCCTATACCAGCCCAACGCCCAGCGGAGCCTTCAGGCATGCTGGAGAAGAGAGCCCTGAGACTCCCGGCCCTCCTACGCATCTGGAAAGTTTGAAGTGTGACTCTGCGGGGGCTCCTCCCTGGGTAGACCCAGTGGCTCCTTGCAGAGACGCACCTGGCTGGCAGGCTGAGGCCGTGGCCATGGCCAGGAGCTGAGGCTGGCTGGCAGCAGGCAGGTGATACTGCTTGTTCTCGAAGCTACCGTAGCTACCCGCATCTGTCGACGGTCCATAGCTGTAACTGTCCTGCGAGGGGGTTACCAGAGCGACACAGAGCAGGGAGGAAGCCCCTCAGGGCAGCGGCAAGGTGTGCCCTTGCTCGCCCCACACGCGGCGCGCGTTCACACGGTTCCTGAGCTCCCGCTCTAAGCCAGGCCATTTCAGGAGCTGGGGACACAGTAACCGGTGACATGGATGCGGCCGCCCTCGTGGAAATGTTAACATCTGAGCGCAGAAGTGCTCTGCGGAATGCCTAGCTTGGAGACGGCTCCTCGGAGGAGGAGCGGTACAGGGAAGGCAGGAGGTGAAGACGTTGGGGGCCGGGTTCCCAGCAGGGTCAGCCAGATGCAGAGGCCCCCACATGGAGTCAGCTGGTGGGCTTGCCAGAGACCAGAGGGCGGGAAGAGAAGGGAGGAAGAAGGTGGAACCAGACAATGTGAGCTTTGCTAGCTGGGCAGCCTGTGGTCCATCCACTGACATTAGCGGGTACCAGCGGTGGGTGGCAGAGGCTCAGGGGGGTTGGACCATGTCCAGCATGGGACACGTTGGCAATTCCAAGCGGCAACGCAGAGGCCAGATCTCTAGGCCCAGAGCTCTGGGAGGGAAAGATGGCATCATGAGCACCAGAAGTGCCTGATGAGCACAAGCTCATTCCCTGCTCATTGTCAGGGGCAAGGACGAGATCCGGAAGGTAAGTCTGTGTCCCCGTCTGTCTGCCCTCACGGGGCGCCCACTGCACATGCCCCCTCAGTGTTATCTGGTGCTAGTCAAAGAAAGGCCAGGCTGATACCTGGTAGGAGGGAGCCATGGTGTGTGCCGGGGCAGGCTCCTGGGGCTGGCTGGAGTGGAGCTGGTGCCCGCCATACCCCGCTGGGGTGACAGGCCTGGGGGGCGGGGCAGCCGCGGGAAACGGTGGGGTCAAAGCGGGACCCATTCCAGCAGCAGGTCCCGTGGCGAGGCTGGCTCCAGCGGTGGGGAGGGGAAAAGCCATCGGAGGCTGGGTGCTGGAACCACAGATAAACACAAAAGCCGGCTACATCAGATGAGCTCTAAGTTCCATCAACCCCCAGGCGTCGGCGGCTCTGGATGCTACAGTGAATCCGTGCTTTCTGTGATTAACGGTTAAGACCTTTCTATAGGAGCAGGCTTGGGTTTAAGCACTTTATACAAAATAACACAAGGTCCTAACAACTCTGTGAGTCAGGGACCCTCCTTGTCCCCGTTTACCAGAGAGGAAACTGAGGCACAGTAAGTGGCAAAGTCAGAACCTGAGCCCATTGGTCGACTTCTCAGCTCATCTGTGTGGGCAGCAAGCTTTCTCTGGACATCAAGATTCTTCAAAGAAAGCTGGACTTGAACGGTATTTTGTAACTGAGGAACGACTGGATCCCCAATCATTAAAATACAGAAGATCAGTTAACACGGAACTAAACTCATAGTCACGAGAACCCGTTTTATTGCCAGCTTGCTCTGCACAGCACTGAGGCCTCTGTCTACACCACCTCATTCTCCCATCTGCCTGTCCGTCAGTCCTGTTTCTGAATGCGGAAACTCTGAGGATCATGACACGGGTCAAGTGCTCGATTCAGACAAGATCTTTGCGACCCAAGTGCCCCTCACGCTACTAAATATCAGTCACCGAGTAGACGGTCCTCATCAAAGTCCCTTTGTCTGGGAAGGTATCATCAAACTTTTAGCCCCATCATGGATCCCATGAAGGTCCTGCGAACCCTGCAGGGGACGAGGATGGATGTGCGCGTGGGGTTTGGGGCAGGCAGGCCTGAGGACAAAAGTACCTTCGCACACGTTCTGGACCAAAGCTATCCATGCAATGACTGCCGAGCTGCCCCTGTCCCTCTGAGTGGCTTGCTGACCAGCTGGGACAACACGGGGAGCACTGTCCAGGCTGGTCAACCACACAGAGTCGAGTGCAAACGCTCCTCGCGGGAGCTGGGGACCAGCAGAGCCTGGGGCCTCAACCCTGCCGGGGGCCCGCCCACCTCCTCGCTGGCATCTCTGTCCCCCTGGCAGCCAGAGCACAGCATAAACCTGCCCACGTCACCCTCCTGTTTGGAACCCTTCAAGGCTCCGAAACGCAGCCCTGAAGCCCATGCACCCCATCCCCTCCTGTAGGTCGCTGCTCGAATGTCACCTCCTCCAACAAGGCCTCTCTGAGCCCGTCTAGGACAGCAGCAGCATCCCGTCCCCGTCGCCCTGCTGGAGTTTTCTTCCTGGTACCACCTGATCCTCTGACTTGTCTGTCCCCTGGTCGTCCCCTCCCCCACAGCATGAGGCCACAGGGGCACAGGAAGGGCAGTGTGTCCCAATTCTTACCAGGCACTGCAACAGCCCTTGGCACATAGGTGCGCAGTAAATACTGCTGCGGGAGCACGTGCTTACAGGCGTCCCGGGGGGCACGTGTTTGGGAAAGAGTGGGTGGGGGCAGCCCCTGCAGCTCCCATCTACAGCGGCTTTCTAGATTCAATCGAAGGCAGCATCCTGGACCCCAGGGGCCACTCCTAGGTGCAATGCCACCGTCCAAACAATTCGAAATCTGCAGCTCTACAGTGAAATTACAACACAACGGGAAGCCAGACCTCCGACCTGTAACACGAGATGCCTTCATCTCTCCAGGAAAATTGGAAGCACCCTATCTGCTGTGAAGGAGCACTGAGATTTCTCAATTCAGCCACTTGTGAGATTCATGGGTCTCTTCTGTCTTAGAGACTTTCTTGGTCAAAAGGCAGATCGAGCTGAGGAATGGAATTCAACACTTAGTTTCATTTTAATTAATTTAGGTTTCGCAGTGGAAGGCGCAGAGAGAGAACATTTCCGTCATCACAAAAGTCCTCTGGGGCGGTGCCGCATGCAAAGTCCTCACCCATCACAAACACACACTCGTTTACTGAGAAGCACACAAGCATCTCGGCCCCCTCCCGCTCTTGTGACGAACCCTGTTCAGGCCCTGGGGAGATCCTTCTCCCCACCTCTTGCTCTAGAACATGAAAGCAAAATCCAACACTCATACATAATGATCCAGCCTCAGAAAGGAAGGGACCCTGACACCTGACACGACATGGAGGGACCCCGAGGACACCATGCTCAGTGAGAGGAGCCAGACCCAGAGGGACACATCCCACAGGACCCCACTCCCAGGAGGTCCCCAGCGGAGGGCCGTCCACAGAGACAGAGAGGAGAGGGTGGGAGCCGGGGCTGGGGCAGGGGGTGGGGAGTCCATGCTTCATGGGGACAGATCCATATGGGGAGATGGAAAGTTCTGGAGACAGAGGGCGGGGGTGGTCGCAGGACGGTGTGAGTGTGCTTCATGACACTGAGCTGTGCACTTAGAGACGGTCCAATGGTACATTTTATGTCGTGTCTATTTCACTACAATAAAAAGAGACCTCATAACCACTACCAGTCACTCCCCATCCCCCCCATATATTTTGTCTTAATGTTTAACATTTTTTAATATTTTAAGAAAGAAACTTTTTAGACACACATGAAAAATTATGTTGATTTTTTCATGTTTTACATTTAGTCACTCAGCATTTCTGATGAATATACATCTGCTTTGCACACTTCAGCTGTAACTGCATTTTAAGGTTGGATCTTTTAGCTCAGCCTTTCTCAACTGGGATTCCAGCAGAAACGAAGGCCTCGTGCCCCCAGGCATCCGTGTAGGTAAGAATTCACGTCCCTCTGAGGATCCTGGGATGGCGCTTGCTGTGGCTTGTCCCTATGGGGACTCGGGCTCTCCGACCATCTCCTGTGTTCTACAGCTCTGAGATGGAACCCTGATCAGGAAAGAGACTGTGTGGGTTTGCTCAGGCTGCCATTACAAAGTCCCACCGACAGGGTAGCTTCAACAACAGACAGTCCTGTAAGGGCCGGAACCAAGATCAAGGAGTTGGTAGGGGCGGTTCCTCCCAAGGCGTCTCTCCTGGGCATGTAGACACCATCTTCTTCCCTGTCCTCATAGGGCCGTCCCTCTATGCGTGTGTGTCCCCATCGCCTCTTACAGGGACGCCAGTCATACTGGCTTAGGGCCCACCTCTGTGACCACATTTTGACTTAATCACTGCTTTTAAAGATCCCATCTCCAAGTACAACAGTCACGTTGTGAGTGAGGTCTTGGGGGTTAGCACTTCTACATATAAATTATAGGGAGGACACAAGTCAGCCCATCCATGACAGCTGCTTCAGGCCATTATAGTAGCAAAACTCAGATGACATGAAAATCTTGGTTACACAAACATCATTCATGCTGAAATAATATAAATAAATAAAATTCAAAAAATACATTTTACAAAATAATCATTTATGAATTTGTTATTTTATTTAAGACATCCAAATAACCCTGGCCCATCAACAGAATGCCCAGACATGCATGATAATAAAGTCAGTCATCTTTGATGTTTTGCCAACCAGAAAAACCTTAGCCCCCCCTTTTTTTTTTTGGTCATTAGAAACGTACATTTGTCAAGGTAGGTAAGAGAAAACATACTGTATTTAACTTTTAGCCAGTTTGGTTAATGATGTTAAAGTATTTAGATGTATGGTATGCAGTCCATTTGTACTTTCATCCTGGGCCCCCCAAACTTAAAGGCTGATTATTTACTCATTTGAATGGATCACAATTCATTTGCCTAACTTCCTACTGGTAGACATTTATATTACGTGTTATGTACTGCTGAGTCAAAAACTATCCCCAATGCTGTGGTTTCAAACAATAATACTGATCTTCAGTCTCTGCGGGTCAGGAACACGGGAGTGGCTTGGCTGGGCTCTAGGCTCATGGTCTTTCTGAGGTTGCCCACGAGACGCTGGCTGGGGCGGCATCATCTGAAGGCTTGACTGGGGTGGCGGGCTCTGCTTCCTGGATGTTCCCTCACACAGTGGGCACTTTGGTTCTAGTTGTCTGCAAGAAGCCTTGGGTCCTCTTGTGTGGGCTCGTCTCAGTACTGCTTGAGTATTCTTACAACATAGCAACTAGTTTCCCCAGAGAGAAAACAGAGAGTCTGGGGTGCGGAAGCTGGACTTGTCATGACCCAGCCTCTGACACCAATCACATGGCAGAACTTTTGCCACATGCCATTAGTTAGAAGCGAATTACTGAATCTAACCCACACTCCAGGGCAGAGTAGATTAGGCCCCATTGAAGAGTTTGTGGGTATCTCTTTAAACCACCAAACATTATTTCTAATTTCCTGCTGGTAAGCAATGCTCCAAGGTATCCTCCACGTACATTCTACATATGCCTCCTTGTGCCGGCATCCTCGAGCGGCTTCCTGTCCAGCCTGGGTCCCACCCCACTGGCCACAAACCAAGCACAGCCCACGGAATGGGGCCAGGATGGCTGCCTCAGACCCACCTGTGTCCTCACGTAACTGTAACGACTTTGTTAGAGGTCCTACCTCTAGTCACATTGGGGGTTAGGGCTTCACATGAATTGGAGGGGGCACAATTCAGCCTATAGCATCACCTTAGCATCCTACAACAGAACAAATCTTGTGAGCAGGTATCTTGGTGACTCCCTATTACTTACTGCATAAACCCCAGCTTCTGCCTTACATCTGAGAGCCCCGAGCCCACTGTCTAGCCTCCCCCCCCCCAACATCCTCTGTCCCTCACACACAGCACCGTTTCCCGGTCAGCCCGTGCTTTTCTCCCGTTTCAATGTCCATACCAGGCCCTTCTCTCGGGTTGGTGTGCTGCATCCCAGCCCCACCCGCCCAAATCCCAGGCACCCTTCACTGCAAGGCCTCTTCCGGCCTTGGGAAGTGGAGGAGGGCTCCTGCTAACTGCTGGACTGCGGGCACATCCACTCTTTCTCCTTCAGTCAAAAATGAAAGCTTCGATTGCACACAGCCATGTCCACCTTGTGTATCGTTTACGGCTGCCTCTGCCCTAGAGTGGGGACGCTCGGTAGCTGCAAACAGACGCCATATGGCCTGGTGTCAGGGACCAAAAGTTTGTGTCTCCCAGAATTCAATGTTGAAACCTCAGGGTGACAGTGTTAGGAGGTGGGGCCTTTGGGAGGGATTAGGATTAGATGGCATCAGGAGCCTGGCGCGCTCAGGAGTGCCCTTGAGTCACAGGGGAGATTGCTGCCCCCCCCCATGCAAGGACACAGCAGGGAGGCAGCCACTTGCAACCCACCAGGGGGCTCTCACCAGAACCCAGCCCCACCGGCACCCTCATCTCCTCCAGCTTCCGGAACTGCGGGGGATACTTTCCTACTGTTTACAAGCCACCCAGTCCGTGGTCCTTTGTTCCAGCAGCCCAAACTAAGATACACACAAAGCTTCAAGTATTTACTCTCTGGCCCTTTACTGAAAAGGTTTGCGGATTCCTGGCTTAAAACAGCAATTGTTGATTTTGTTCATGATTCCGTAGGCTGGGCTGCATTGCATCTGAAGTCAGCGGCAGGCAGGCAGCTCCACTTCTGGAAGGCGGCTGGCTATCAGACAGAAACCCTGGCTCCCTCCCTGTAGCATCTCCTCCTCCAGGGCCAGCCTTGGGTCCTTCACGCGGCAGCGTTCCCGAGGTGGAGGGGACACAGGCAAAGGCTCTAGAGGCTGGAAGTCCAAGATCAAGGTGCTGGCAGATGCCGTGTCTGGTGAGGGACTGGGTCATGGACCGCCATCTTCTTATGTGTCCTCACGTGGAGGACAGAGGGACGGAGCTTTATGGGGCCTCTCTCATAAGGGCACTCATCCCATTCATGAGGACTGCACCCTCATGACCTAAGCCCCCCCAGAGGCCCCGCCTCCCCATACCATCATCTGGAGGATTAGGTTTCAGTTAGCAATTGTGAGGGGCACCGACTGTCAGTCTATGACGGCGTCACTTCCACTGCAGTCCGCTGGCAAGACAAGGACAAGGAAGCCCAGATTCCAGGGCTACAGAAACAGACGTTACTTCAAGATGGGAAAAGCTGCAAGGTCATGGCAGAAAGGCTGAGGATGTAAGGAATGAAGGACGGGGACATTCTGGCAACCCATCTGCCACACTGAGGTTTTAGGAGCTGAGTGAGCCAAAACACAGCTCATGGCAAAGACCTCCCACAGGCATGACCCAGACGGTTGCCAAAACCTAGGAAATCTGGCATAGGGGTTCTCACCCGGGGTGACTCTGTCCCTAGTGAATACTGGGTGATGCTGGGGACATCCGTGGTGGTCACGACCAGGGTGCTGCCGGCGCTGGGTCAGTAACCAGGGATGCTGCTCCACCCCCCAGTGCCCACCCCAGAATGACCTGCCCCAGTGTCAAACGTGCTGCTGAGAAACTCAGACCTGCAAAAATGGGTGAGGACACCACAGGTTTGGGGTTGGGGGTTGAGCCTAGTGTTTGGGGGGAAAAGCGGCCAAGGGCACAGCAGAGGCAGTTTCTCCCGCCCAGGCTCCCCACCACAGGTCCAGAGGGAGAACACCCCACCCCTGCTCAGGCTCCCCTTCATGGGAGGCCTTTGGTCACCTCACCTTCTCTCAATTTCCAATCAGGCGGAAGCTGAGACTTCCTTCCCTCTGGTTCCTTGCAAAAGGCGGTTTTGCCTGTAGTCACCCTGGCCTCGCAGGCCCCAGGTTAAGAATCCCTGCTGGGACAGGGGGTGCCAAAAAGCAGTCGTTGAGCTCAAATGGCAAATTTGGCCCTGTGGGACGTGGCATGTCCCCTTCTCTTGGGAAATGTGATCAATTCTTCTTGCAGCGACACGGACCTCTCCATGTCCACACTCAGGCTCCTCCATGGAATAAAATCCCAAAGGCACAAGTGAGACATTCCCTTCAAGCAAGATGGTAGAGAAGAGAGGCTGAGCATGACAGGTGCTGCACAAGGACGGAGCTGGAGTCACAGAGGTTTCAAGATCAGGAACTGGGGGGAGAGCCACAGCCCAGTGGGATGGCTTCCAGTCCTGCTCTGCTCACCGGGGCCTTGAGCAAGTCACTTACTCTTTCTTACCCTCGGTGTACTGGCCTGGGACCCCACCTCTTGAGATGGCAGGACAATTCAGCAGGAGCTCACGTGCTACAGCAGATCGCGCAGGCAGGAGCTTACAATGCAGTCCAGGGGTGCCAGATCTCCCGATTTTAAGCAAGGCTAAAAATCAGGGTTTTTGCAAAATCTCCCATTTTTTTTTTAAAGGTTTTATTTATTTATTTGAGACAGAGAGAATGAGAGACAGAGAGCATGAGAGGGAGGAGGATCAGAGGGAGAAGCAGACTCCCCGCCGAGCAGGGAGCCCGATGCGGGACTCGATCCCGGGACTCCAGGATCATGACCTGAGCCGAAGGCAGTCGCTTAACCAACTGAGCCACCCAGGCGCCCCAAAATCTCCCATTTTTTATTTTTATTTTATTTTATTTATTTGTCAGAGCACAAGCAGAGGGAGCAGCAGGGAGCCTGACGTGGGGCTCAATCCCAGGACCCTGGGATCAGGACCTAAGCCAAAGGCAGACGCTTTACTGACTGAGCCACCCAGGCATCCCTATTTTTTTTTTTTTAACGTTTTTTACTTAAGTAATATCTACACCCAACATGGGGCTCAACTCATGACCCCCAAATCAAGAGTCACATGCTCCTCTGAGCCAGCCAGGTGTCCCAAAGTCTCCCGATTTTTAAATGCTGGCAACCAATTCAAATAAAGCAAGCAATAAGCCTACCACACAGGCTGAAGAAGGCAGGTGTGAGAATCAAACATGGTGTGCAAGCTGCCAATTTTCAACCCCTGATGGATGAGGAACAGGAATAAAAAGCCACAAATTTGCTCTCGGTGAAGACTCCCTTTAAGCCCGCAGCCGAAGCCCTGTGCTGCTATAGCTGGAAGTCACCTGTTGTTCAAAGGGAGGGTGTGCCGCTGTCCCCACAACAGTGAGGACCCCATGACAACAAGGACCCAGCTGGTGCCGTCTGCCCAGGGGGGGAGAAGAGCTGAAGCTGGATGCTGGGCACTTGTCAGCACAGGAAAAGCAGTATTTAAGCACACCTATGTGAATGCGGATTCCTGAGTCCCAGCTGGCATCCTCCTCTTTGGGTCAAGGCAATTATCTTCTAATGGTTTTTGACCTAAATGTTTGTTTTGGGGAGGCAGAGTTTTCTTGAGTACATCATCTAGGTAAGATTTTAGAATGCAAGGTTGGCAAGACCCATTGGTATCATTTTGCTCAGTCACCTGACAGGGACGTGGAGGGCTGGAGATGGAAGGGACTCAGCCGAGGAGGTCCGGTTCTGAGCAGGGCTCTCTCCTGTGGGACATGCTCTCGCTTGCTCCTACAAGGCCAACCATAAAAGAACACATGGAGGGGCGCCTGGGTGGCTCAGTCGGTTGAACGTCTGCCTTTGGCTCGGGTCATGATCCCGGGGTCCTGGGATCGAGCCCCACATTGGGCTCCCTGCTCGGCGGGAAGCCTGCTTCTCCCGCTCCCTCTGCCTGCCACTCGCCCTGCTTGTTCTGTCAAATAAATAAAATCTTAAAAAAAATAAAAATAAAAAAGAACACACGGGCCCTGAGTGGAGCCCTCACTTCAGAAGGGTATGTCTGAGGAATCTCCAGCAGGTAATGACCTGTTCTGGGCCTGCTGCAGCAGGGCAGCTGATACACACCACTGTCAGTGGGTCATATGCAGCGGGAACAGGCACACACACAACACCAAAAACATTTAGAGTCTGAGAAAAAAAAAGGTGGAAAAAAAGATTTTCCCGTAATCACAGTGCTGAGAAAGTTCACTCAGTATCACTGCCCCACGTGGCAAAAACTAAGCCCGACTGAGACTGCTGCAGAGCACCAAGCAGCTGGAACTCTCACGTCAAGGATCACCTACGCTGCAGTGCTGGTGAGAGAAAACTCAGCTCCAGCACCCTGACCTCGGCACAGTTTTCCAGGCGCATCTGTGGCGACTCAGGGCTGAGGAACATTCAGAGTTTAGACGGCGTGCAGTGAACTCCAATACCCACTGCTGATACGGTCACTAAAGACATTCATCGGGAAGGACATTTTCAAACCTGTTTTATTGTAAGATGACATGACTGTGTGTGTATACACACATGTAAACACGCCGTGATGATCTCATTTGGCACTTCGGTTCTCGAAGTTTTTATAGTCACAATATATATATGACATACGTTCATACCCATTAACAATTCTGATGTTTAAAAATATTTTATTTTTGGGCGCCTGGGTGGCTCAGTCGTTAGGCGTCTGCCTTCGGCTCGGGTCAGGATCCCGGGGTCCTGGGATCGAGTCCCACATCGGGCTCTCTGCTCCGCGGGAAGCCTGCTTCTCCCTCTCCCACTCCCCCTGCTTGTGTTCCTGCTCTCACTATGTCTCTCTCTGTCAAATAAATAAATAAAAAATCTTTAAAAAAATAAAAAAATAAAAATATTTTATTTTTTTAAAGTTTAAGTAATCTCTACACTCAACATGGGGCTTGAACTCACCACACTGAGATCAAGACTCACATGCTCTTCTGAATGAGCTAGCCACGTGCCCTACAATTCTGATGTGTTTTTTAGCAGAATTTTTTAAATTATGAAAGTCTTATGTACCTTCTCCATGTGAAATGCCCATTTCAGATGCAGAAAACATCCCAACATACTGGAAAGGGGTTTAATAAACTAAATCTTTGGGCTCTTGGGGCGCCTGGGTGGCTCAGTCGTTAAGCATCTGCCTTCAGCTCAGGTTGTGATCCCAGAGTCCTGGGATCGAGCCCCGCATTGGGCTCCCTGCTCAGCCGGAAGCCTGCTTCTCGCTCTCCCACTCCCCCTGCTGGTGTTCCCTCTCTCGCGCTCTCTCTCTGTCAAATACATAAATAAAATCTTAAAAAAAACCCCAAACAAACAAAAACACACTAAATCCTTGGGCTCTTGAGAAGATGACAGAGAATTTCATTCCCCACCCCCATCTGCAACCTTCTTTAAACCTTAGTCAAGAGTCTCCAGGTCTGAATCAGGGCCAGCCTGGCTCCTCAAGACAGAGCCACTGGGCTGCTCCACGTTGCTGAGGCAGGGATTCCCGAAGCTGGTGACAGGCATTTCCCGAGCCTCCAGGGTGAGCCGGATTCTGAGCTTGGCAGTGCAACTCTTCCATCCTTCTGCAAAGGAACATGGTCCCCACATGGAGGGTGGCCACAAGGTTAGCCTGCCAGGCAGATGCTTAAAAATGTTGTCTTGATGATATTATGCTGGGTAAGCCAAAGAGAAAGCATTCTGTATGCGCCCTCAGAGAAGCAGTGCAAGCGAAAGAATTTCCAACTGGGCTTACAATGACCACGCCAGTCTACTGCTGTGAATCCAACTGATGAAAGGCCACTGTTTGAGGACTGGTGAGGGGTCATGTGTGGTTCCAGCCCTCTCCTGCTGCTTTCAGACATGGAGAAACCTCTACAGCCATGTCTACACTGGTCTAACACATGCACCTCTTGTGTCGACAGAGGGAGGCAGCACTAGACAGCCAATGTGTGGTTCTTATGAACAAGTACAACAGATGTCCAACTACCAACCCTGGATTCAACCAAAGACATTCAAATTAAAAAGAAGCCACTGGTGGGGCACCTGGGTGGCCCAGTCAGTCAAGAGTCCCACTCTTGGGGGTGCCTGGGTGGCTCAGTTGGTTAAGCGACTGCCTGGAGTCCCAGGATCGAGTCCCGCATTGGGAGGGAGTCTGCTTCTCCCTCTGACCCTCCCCCCTCTCATGCTCTCTCT